TGAGATCTGATGGTTTTAAAAAAGGCTTTTCCCCTGCTTAACTCACCACCTCTCCTTGCTGCCACCATGTGAAGAAGGACATGTTTGCTTCTCCTTCTGTCACAATTGTAAGTTTCCTGAGGCCTCCCTAGCCCTCCAGAACTGTGAGTCAGTTAAACCTCTTTCCTTTATAAGTTACCCAGTCTCAGGTATATCCTTATAGCAGTATAAGAATGGGCTAATACACGTAGAGAAAGATATGAAGACTGAGCCAGCTTAAAGGTAAAAGAAGCAGGCTTTAAAACAGGGGAAAACCCCAGAGTGTGTGACATTGTGAAAGCCAAGGGAAGAGCAGATTTCACTGAGAAGAGAAGGTTCTACCATGTCAAATGCCACTGAGGGGGTCAAGGAAGGTGAGATTGAAATGTTCAGTAAGGTGGCAATAGGCTGCCAGCGACTTGGTAAGAACAGTTCCAGTGGAGCAATTGTTGCTTTATTTGAATGTGTTCAAGAGAGGATCGCCAAGAACAGGAATTGAAGAAAGCAAGTTTAGGCAACTTTAGAGAGCTTTGTTGTAAAAGGTTTCAGGGAAATGCAGTGGTGACTAGAAAGGGAACTGGAATAAAAAGTTTTGTTTTGCTTTGTTTTTTAACTAGTGGATACATAGGAGGGTGTTTGTACACTGATGGGGATAATCCAGCAGAGTGGGAACACTGATAATTGAGTGTGGAACTGAACTCTTGAGCAGCGAGAGGGGTGGGGGCTGGTGAACAGCAAGGGAGTTGGCCTTGTAGAGCAGGAAGCTGAGTGGGTGGTACACATGCTGACAGGTGGGAAGAGAAGGTGCTGAGTGCTTGTGTGGGTTCTGCTCTGGTCACTTTATCTTTCTCAGTGAAATAGGAAGCAGAGTCATCAGTGGAGAGTAAGAATGGGGAAGGAGGTGTTTAAAGCTTGAGAAAGGAAAATATAAGAAGACATAATTTAAAAGAGCAGGAATGCAAATGGACTGGGAAGATGAGGTGTGACTGTGGAGCAGCCTTTTGGTCCACTTAAGGGTAAAGGTCCAGGATAGAAAGAAGCAGAGTGCAGGGCTATGCCCCTTCTCCAGCTACAACCAGTTACACAGGATCAGACCTGACATAGGTGGAGAACAGAGTTTAACCAGAGCTGGTGTTTTGTCGAGTAAGAGGGACAACAGAGATGAGCAAGCGTGTGAGAGGTGCCTATCATGATTGAACATGGAATTTACACAGTGTAAGAAGAAAGGGGGGCAGGAAGGGGTTAATGGACATGAAAATGAGGTAGAAAACAGGTCCAGGGGTACAGGAGAGAGTGAGCTCACCAATTAGGAGGGGTTAATCAGAATGCAAGGTATGTAAAGTGGAGATTATGAAGCTGTTGAGTAATGCTAAGGTTTAGGTTATACCAGCTGTCCCCAACCCTTTTGGAACTAGGGACCGGTTTCGTGGAAGACAATTTTTCCTTTGGGGTTGTGGGGGGGATCGTTTTGGGATGAAATTCTTCCACTTCAGATCATCAGGCATTTGTTAGATTCTCATGAGGAGGACCCAACCTAGATCCCTTCTATGCGCAGTTCACAATAGGGGTTGTACTCCCATAAGAATCTAATGCCTCCGTGGATCAGGAGGCAGAGCTCAGGTGGTAATGTTCACCCTGTCTGCTGCAGCTCACCTCCTGCTGTGTGGCCCAGTTCCTAACAGGTCACTGGCCCATACCAGTTTATGGCCCAGGAACTGGGGACCCCTGGGTTATACAATGAGAATAAATCTGAGATTGGATGGAAGACAAAATCATTGATAGAGAGATCACATTTCTGATAGGCCAGGAATCTGTATGAAACAACAACTGATTGTGATGCAGGTAGTCCAAGGACTGTGTTTTGAGGAACTCTAGTTTTAAGTAGAGTTGGCGAGCTAAACACAAAAATTTAGAAGCCACAAGACATGAGGGGGCTGGAAGAAACAGGAAAGATATTAACAGAATGTTGTGTGTGGAGTGTGCTGGACACAGCATCAAACAGTTCACATACCTCCTTGTTATTAGTATTAGTATTTGTTTCTGGCAACAAGACTGAATTCTAGAGATCATTATTGTCTCTATTTTACAAATGATGAGCATGAAGGACAGGGAAGTTAAATAACATGTACAACGATAAGTCCAAACTCTGAGCTCGCAACCATTATGTCCACTTGCCTTGACAGGTGCAATGATTATGATAGAGCAGGTAATATTAAAATCTATATCCTAAAATGTGATTACTAGACTTATGAGATTAGAGACTCTTGAGAACAGTATTGTATATAAAGTCCCATAATATACATGATCTCATCTAATCCTCACATTAATCCTGTGTATTAATTTGCTAGGATCATGGGGCCAGTAATTAGCAAAGCCTGGATGTGAAGCTCATCCTGTGACCTCCTGCTTGTAAACTCCTACCACTAACTACGCGTCACCATTACTTTCCAGATATAGTTCAGACGGCAACCTTAAAGAGACTTTTGAATAAATGTATTAATAAAGAAACTGTTACTAGTTATTTCTTTTTAGAACCTAACATAAAAAGTTTCATAATTCCTATGTTTCCATGGGAACATTCGTTAGCACAGAATGCAGCATTCTTCCTGTCATGGAATGTTCTTTCTATAAATTCATGCATTCACTCAACTAATATGTAATAAGCAAATAGTCTGTGCACGTGCTGTGCTAGGTGCAGAGGATACAGTCGAATAAGAAACATTCTGCTTTAGGGGAATCTTTAGTCAGTCCCAGGTCTTCAGCACCTCAGATACTCTGCAGGGCCTTTTCATGCCTGGTGCAATTTAAGACACTGCATTTGACCTAGAATACACTCCATCCCTTAGGACCCAGTTACCTAAGAGATCATTCTTCTCCCTAATGGTTTGGCACAGAGTAAGATCAGCGGTAGCACCCTGGAGTTGGAATCTTAGATTTGGACTCCGGAGAAACAGAATCAGGGTGGTGTTTTCCAAAAAAAGGATTCTTCTACTCCAAGAAGACCCAATTTTAAAGCTGGATTTAAAAATATACCCTCTTGCCTGGCATACTAAGCATCTTAGTGGGACTGTGTTGCCCCTCAGCCATCACTTGGCTATGCCTTTGCTAGAAATACCGGATTTTGTACATGCCATGTAATCGTGTAGAGACTCTATGACTCAACACCCTCCTGCCAAAATGTCAGGCCAAGGCCAAACAAGGGAGGGTCCTGGGCACCAGTCTGTGAGAACAAAAGGCAATGAATCCAGAGCGTGGGGCAAATTCCACTTTATCCAGGTTGGTGATGACACAGCCCGTGATATGTAGCACACAATGCGCGAGGCGGCTCTTTCCACGTGCAGAGAAATCCGTGCACTTCTATTTCATAATGTTACTCATTAAGAATGGCACTATGTACTAGTTGGAACTCACCTGGCGCCTACCACCGAGAAGCGGGGGTGATTGGGGGTGTTATGGTTTGACTCCTGATTTAGAAGATCCAACTGGTGCTCTTAGCGGCAGTGTAACTCGTGTTGCCTCACTTACCTCCGCTCTTAAAGTATGTGAGTCACAGTATAATTTAAGAATTACACTCTATTTCTTACATTTGCAAAAGTTAAGTGAGACAAATCAAAGCTTATGTTTTCTTATTTAAAAAAATGAAGATTCTATATTTTATTGAGGTTTTAAAAATCTCTTAAAACCGCAACATATTTTATATTCTCCTTGAATCACTCCGATCACAGATTTAATTTTTCGAGTCATTTTTGGAGTTGTGGGACCACAGAGCTAGTTTGCAATCCCTATAGCTTTAAGAGAAGGTATTTCTAGTTTTGGAGTAGGGAGTAAGGGAGGTGGCGCCTGCTCCCGGCTCCACCACTCCCCGCCCTCGCGCCGGGGGTGGGGTGGCACTCGGTTTCCCGCGGCTACCGGCCGCGCCCCGCGGCCCGCGCCGCCGCCAGGAGTGCTGCGCTTCCCACCTGCCTCAGGACGCCTCGAGGGCTGCTGCGGTGCCCACTGGGCTGCCGCTCCTCCCGGCTCAGAGCTTCCCAGCCGCCGAGAGTTTGCGAGAGACCCCGGTGTCGGGCATGGTCCTGGGCCAAGGAGGGCCGCAGCGCCTCCGCACCTGCCTGAGCTCGGGCACCCCCGCCCACCGGAGAAGCCCGGAGCCCTCGGAATGCCGGCTGCCTCCCCCGAGGGCGCTGTCTCGGGGCTCCCCGCGGATCCGCCCGCCCTCAGCTGCTGGCGCGGCACCAGGCTCCGCACGCCTTTCTCTCCCCTGCTCTCCCTGGCAAGGCCGGACACGCCCACTGCCGCTGCTGGCCTCTGAGCCCGGGCGCCTGAGTTACACCCATTCTCCCCACTATTGTCGGCCAGAGCCGCGCTCCCGGCCCTTCTCCCGGTGCCGGCGGCTCCGAGCGGAATACAAAGAGGCCTGCGCCTCCCTGGCCCTTGCTACGGCCACACCCGTCCGTGCCCACTCTCCGCGGTCCACCGCGAGGGCTGCACGCAGGACCCCTCCTCTCAGCGCGCTCCTCCCCCTCCCCCGGTGTCGCTCAAATCCACCTAGCGTTCCGAAATCCCAGGAGTGGGGGCCTTCGACTGCCACCCTCAGGCCCCCTTGGCCGCTCCTCCCGGCCCTTGGGACTCGCCAGGGCTGTCCTCCCAACCCCTGCCCGCCGCTCCTCTAGGTCCCGGCCCCTCCTCCGGGGCCCTCCTCCTCCCTCGCCCCTCGCGCGCCAGGGTGGGAGCGGCGGCAGCTGGAAGAGAAGGGATGAGGTCATCCTCTCCCTCGGAGTCAGCTGGTGGAGGAGAGGAAGCGGGAGGAGGGAGCGCGCGCGAGGGGAGGAGAGGAATGTGCAGGTTCGAGGAGCGCCGCGGCGGCCGCTGCTGCTCCTGCTGCTGGCGGCGGCGGCGGCTCGGGCGGCAGCCGCGAAGCCGGGACGGCGAGGAGCGCGGGCGGCGGGCAGGGGCGCGCGCGGGGCGCCGCGAGCAGCTTGGCTCCGCGCAGGCAGCCAGGCGGCGCTCCTGCCGGCCCCAGGCGCGCCGCTAGCCCGGCCCAGCGCCCAGCCCGGCGGGCGGCGGGCGGCGGCGGGCGGCGGGCGAGCCAGCGCAGGAGCAGGAGGAGGGGGAGCCGCGCCGCCTGGGAGGGAAGCCGGGGCGAGGCGAGGAGGTGGCGGGAGGAGGAGACAGCGGGGAAAGGTGTCAGATAAAGGAGGGCTCTCCTCCGGTGTGGAGGCATCATGGCCGCTAAATCAGACGGGAGGCTGAAAATGAAGAAGAGCAGCGACGTGGCGTTCACCCCGCTGCAGAACTCGGACCACTCGGGCTCGGTGCAGGGATTGGCTCCGGGCTTGCCGTCGGGGTCGGGAGCCGAGGACGAGGAGGCGGCCGGAGGCGGCTGCTGCCCGGACGGCGGCGGCTGCTCGCGCTGCTGCTGCTGCTGCGCCGGGAGCGGCAGCTCCGGGGGCTCGGGCGGCTCCGGCGGCGTCGCCGGCCCGGGCAGCGGCGGGGCGGGCTCGGCGCTGTGCCTGCGCCTGGGCAGGGAGCAGCGTCGCTACTCACTGTGGGACTGCCTCTGGATCCTGGCCGCCGTGGCCGTGTACTTCGCGGACGTGGGTACGGACGTCTGGCTCGCCGTGGACTACTACCTGCGCGGCCAGCGCTGGTGGTTCGGGCTCACGCTCTTCTTCGTGGTGCTCGGCTCGCTGTCGGTGCAAGTGTTCAGCTTCCGCTGGTTTGTGCACGATTTCAGCACCGAGGACAGCGCCACAGCCGCTGCTGCCTCCAGCTGTCCGCAACCTGGAGCCGATTGCAAGACGGTGGTCGGCGGTGGATCTGCAGCCGGAGAAGGCGAGGCTCGTCCTTCCACGCCGCAAAGGCAAGCATCCAACGCCAGCAAGAGCAACATCGCCGCGGCCAACAGCGGCAGCAACAGCAGCGGGGCTACCCGGGCCAGTGGCAAGCACAGGTCTGCGTCCTGCTCCTTCTGCATCTGGCTCCTGCAGTCACTCATCCACATCTTGCAGCTCGGGCAAATCTGGAGGTACTGTAATGGGTGGGGGAAGAGGGAGGCTTGCTGCTGCTACTACATCCCCACTGCTTTGCTTTTGCACGGAAATCTTTCAGGGTTGCTGTGGTAGTAACCCTAGCCACACTCTTCCAGTTTTTGGGGTTTCTTTTGAACTGGGGCTTGCATTTTTAAAATTTGCAATCTCAGTCTAGGGTGGGAGGGAAGTGAGAAGCAAGGAAAGGACAGCAAAGTGGTTTCGATCACCTCATCCCTTCTGTCTTCCCACTCTGCCTCACTGGCTTCTCGCTCTTCGCATGCCACAACCCCCCCTCCCAATTTTTAGTGATATTGTTTCAGTGAGTAGGAGAGGATTCCTGTCACATGTTCTAAAATTCCTTTATTTTTATGTTGAATTTGAGGTGTGTGTTGCCATTTGGATGGTTTCTTTTGTTCCCTGGTGAAAAAAAATTGCTAATTTTAGTGAAATGGGAGTTGCTGCTGCTCAAAAGTACCCACATATTAATGATCACTGCTGAAGAAGTGCTTTGCTCAAAGTAAAGATCCTAATAAGCAAAAGACTTGTCATATATATATATATATATATATATATATATATCTCCGAGCATGAGTCAGTAAACTTTATGGGGCCCAGATTTACTTTTAGAGTGCCCTTTCTGATTATCTTACAATATCTCCATATGTAATTTCTCATATAACTACGAGCCTTTGGAAAAGGGGTGGGGCACCATGTTAACTTTAGTTGTACTTGGCATCTTCATTGGCTACTTTGTTACTTGTCATCTGGTCTACCAAGTGTTTTTACACAGGGATCACCTCAGTTATAAACTGGAATACAAGGCTAAACTTGGGCAGAGGGAAACCACCACTTGAACAGTCACTGCCTGGACTTAGGAGCAGAATGAAATAGTATGCTCAGGAATACATTCTTTTGACTTTTATATGTTACTAGCAGATTTCGAAGCAATATTTTACATCTATAAAAATTACTTGTATGGAATCTATAGATTCAAATATCTCAGAGCTTTTTTCGGTTTTAAAATAACTTAGTAAATAGGTGGTATAAGTGAAACGAGGACAATTCCTAGAAAGTACACCAATATGGAACTGCACTCTGTGGTACTAGTGCTCTTTTTCAATTTTACTTGTAGCTATTTTTGTGATAAAAGATATGAGTTGTTGACTATGCCGAAGTATCCCCTGTGGAAACAACTCGGAGGATTTGTGGAATAGAACCACAAACTTCTTTTCATTTATGACGAACAACCATGTTTTCACCTGAGAAGAGCAAGTGTGGTAATTTCACAACATTTCCTGGGACCAGTGCTTTGTAAAGCTGACTGAACATTGCCATAGATGGTGCCCTTTCAGATTGTGAAACATTTTTTTTTTCAAGCAGATACTTTCTGGAAAAGTGATATTTGATATGCAGTCAGACAAATTGATGTTGGAAACCTTCATACATATTTTGGACTCAAAGTAACTTTTCGAAATGCTAGTTAAATATGATAGCTGTATTTCCCATGGATGACTGTTGGGAAGACATATAGCTTGATGCTCTTCAAGTATGATGAAGGACTTAAGTGCTTACTTTAATTATTGAAATTACTGAGTGTCTAGGATGCATCTGATTAGCATTTCTAATCTGATAATATGGTAAATTAAGCTTAACATCACATTTGTTAACTTTTTCAAACTTTATCAAGATTTGGAAATCACTTAATTTTAAGCACCTTTCAAGTTTCCAGACTTATGTAAATAATGCAAATACTTCTCTATCCTATTAACTGAAAAACTGTAACTTTTTAACAGATTGATACTTTATGAAAAATCTGATATTAAATTCTGTGAACTGAGGGAATCCTTTTAATTATAGTTGTGTTTACTATACCTTCTAAACCAAACATCTCCCCAGTTGAAAAATGATGCTTAATTTTCTCAGGGAATAGTATACAGAAAGTGAGAAATAATTAGGAAAAGATATGAGCCTAAAAACATATCAGAGAGACCAGAGCCACTGGGCCAACTTATCATACAGAAAAGTTATTGCAAAGGTAGGGAGTGGGGGTGGAGAGAGAAGGGATAGAAGGGTAAGGTTTGAATGCAGAAAGAAAACCACAGGCTGTCAGACAAATGCATTAACTGACCCCAGCACTTGGAGAAACTGTGGTCACACATTTCTATAGTATTTTCCTTAGAGAATTTGAAGTTAATACTGATAATGTGTGATCGTCTAGGAGGAATATTATAGTTGGAAGTATTATCAGATATAATATTCTGGAAATATTTGTCAACATTTTCAGAATAATGTATTTAGTAGATAAGTTTTAATTATCATCTAATCTAACTATTCTCAGATTCTGGTTAAGATATTTGGAGGATGCCAGAGTAATCTGGTGAAAGCATGATCTAAGACTAGTCAGCATCATTTTCTATTTATGAAGTATACTTTTCAAAAAAACCAAAACTTTAGCCTAATGTAGGACATTGGAAAGGGATAAGAAAGCTTATGGAACTTGACACTCAGATGCACTCTAATATGTTTCTATTTCTCTGAGTGTTGAATATTCATATGGAACTTTGGGGGAGTAGATGCATCTTTGATAATAAGCCGATGAAGTGCAACTCATCTCAGATTATTCTATTAGACTCACTATGATTCCTTAAATTAGAAGCATTCCTCCCTCTGCCTCTTCTAGCTTTTCTTTTCAATACATTATACACAAATATTTTAGAAACACCAGAGTACTGAGTGGTTCAAAGCACAGAGGTCATTATTCATGTTTTAACATGCTACTTTCTGGGATCAATAAAATAGATTTTAGCTAGGTTGGTAACTGCTTCTTGTGTTTCCATGAAATTCTAATTATTTTAGGGAAGGACCAGATTCTAAAAGCTTTCTGTAGATACAGTCTTTTGAAATAACATCAAAGCGTTTGCTTGTTTAGAAATAGCCATTGAAACATTGTGGATAAGATTTGCATGTATTTACACATAGGTCACAATGCAACTGCTAAAAGCAATGATACATATTCATTTTAATTAAAGTTTACTAATGGCAAATTAATGGCAGCTTTTAAAGTCGCAGGAGGTGATGCTGGGAAAGAGCTGTTTGAAATAATAAAGTGAGTTTTTGCTACCATGTGAAAAAAGCAATTATGACTTTAAAGAAACTGTGCCTGTGAATGAATGTGAAAGTACTTTCCTTTCTTATTTTTCTCATATGATTCCAGAAATTACCAAGAGTACAGTTCAGCCAGTGGCAATCACAAATTCCCTAAGAGAACAGTTTTTAGTCCTCATGCTTTTGATCAATTGCATCCAAATGTCTTTTTCCTTCAGAAATTATGAATTTTACTCTTAAAACTCTACCTGAATTTCTCCTATGTATGTATGTACATAGTTAATTGTTTTCTGGAAGATATGCACTTTGTAAATAATAAGTCAGTGGATGGTAGAGTGGGGAGCATTTTCACTATTCTTACTCTTTTGGGTTTTTGGGTTTTGTTTTTGAGTCTCCGTCATGAGAGTCATCTGGGAAAAATGTGAGGAAAATACAGTTTTTTTCTGCTCTTGTCATGTTTGCTATTCCAGAAGACACTGATTGTGTCCCATGTTCAAATAAGTTGGGAAAATGGTGGGTTAGACAAAGTTAAACAGATCTCTCTACAGCAGGACTTCTCAGAGCCTTTTATAACCTAAGGTACAGTTGTCAGTAAGCTTTTAAAGGCACATCTATTAAATATTTTTATAATGATGCATGCAAAGCACTCTGATAAACACACCATTCTTAAAACTGGCCAAACAAAAATAATAATTTTATTGGCACTTTAAAAATACACAATTTTTTTTTCTACTTTTTATGTCATCTACATTTTAAAACAACTTAAAAGGAAATTATTAGTATCTGTATATGTGAGAAAACTGTCTCAGAGAGGTTAAGTAACTGGCTTAACCTCTTGATAGGGTCACCCAACTATTATGTAGTAAAGTTAGGATTAAAAACAGGGCCCATTTTACCATACAGTCTATGCTTTTTCTGGCTGAATTAGCTACCTCCAAATGCCAACTTGGATAATAATGACAACAATGTATAAAAATAACAATTTACCTTCACTGCGGATGGCAAAGTGGGAAAGGGAGCTACAGTTTAGATGGATTAGGGGATCTTTCCACTGACACACCTGTAGGTAAACAGTAAAACAGAGACTTGAGCTCAGCTCTTTGAACTCTCAGTTCATTGCCTTACTTACTACACCATTAGGACATACTGAGATTGTTTCATTAAATCCTAACTAAGGAACATGATCTCGTAGTAGTTTTAATGATTCCATGGCATAATGTATGTGAATATGTGAAAAGTTATTTGCAAACGATAAAGAGGTTCTAGAGAAAAGGAATGGGTAGAAAAACTAGGGAGGATATAGGTTACACCTCTGACTATTGAAAAAGGTGGTTTCTGATTTTGAGTTAGTCCTGAATTCTGATATAGATTAGGCAAGATTGGTGCCATTTGCTGAGTTTATCAAATGGTTATTTTCTGCATATACGTGTTCCCTCTCTATACATATATATTAATCAGTCATTCAACATACACTGAGCACCTGCTATGTGCAAGGCACTGTGCTGGTTACTAACTATTCCAAGGTGAATAAAATATATATATTTCAAGGAATCTACTCTCTAATGGGGAAGACAGAAAAGTCAATAGACCATCTCAATAGAAGAAGATAAGCACCATGATAGAAACAGGAAACGCAAACCGCCTTGATGGTTCAGGTAAGACTCTCTGGAAGAGGGGATATCTGAGCAAAGGTTTGAGGGATGAGAAAAATCTGCTTTCTGAGTAAAGTGGGACATTGGCCTTAGAGCCCTGGATACAATGTGTAAAGGCAGAGAGGCAAGGCTGGTTAAGTGCATGCTCTACATATGGAGTGAGGAGGGAGAGTAGCTAGAGATGAAGACGAAGAACTAGTTGGGCTAGATAATGAAAGGAATTTAGATTGTATTTTGAA